AACCCCGGGGGGGGGGTCACCTGGGGGGAAGGAACTGTTCCCCTACCTAACTGGCTTGTCTGTCTGTCTCTTGCTGACCAGGTAGGCAGGGTCACCTTTCTTGGGCGAAGCGGGTCCCTACCCTTCCTTTGCCTAATCAGAATACTTTGTTTGAACTCTGGCCTGGCTATCAGCATGGAAGCTGAGTCAAATGCGCTCTGTGGGTGGGTGGGAGGGAGATCCGTTTCTCTCTTTTTTGTTTGAACTCTGGCCTGGCTATCAGCAGGGAAGCTGAGTCAAATGCGCTCTGTGGGGGAGTGGGAGATCCGTTTCTCTCTTTACTTCCTTGGATCCTTCGTCCTTCCACTGACCTCTGAAGCTTTTGTGAACTCTAGAGAAGGCAGTGAGTAAAACGTACTTTTTCTTTTCACCTGAAATCAGAGTGTCTGAGGGATTCCTGGGCTAGTGGCTGCCGCGGGGGGGGGGTGGCGGCGTGGGAAACTTGCTATGGGTTCTCCCTCCTGGAGGACTGACTTTCCGTGGTGTAACAAAGAGGGATCCTTGGGGCCAGCCTCTCAACCCTCTTCAAACCAGCCCGACCTTGCCTCACCCACCATTGGCCCGCTGGGCCGCCAGAGCGTCATCAAAAGCCTTTTGCTGAAATCAAGGGACCTCACCTGCAAACATCGGAGACCCACACAGCTCCCTCTTCGCCTGCCGTCCCTGTGGCTCGGTTCAAAAAGGGAGAAAGAAGAAAGGACCCAAGTCTGGCTTGACCTGTTCTTGAGAAATGCATGCTGGGTCTTCGCATTCAGCCCGTGCTTTTCTAAATGGTCACGGGCTGCCTGTTTAATGATCTGTTCTAGAAGCTTCCCTGCCATTGATGTTAAACTGATTAGTTGCAAGTGCCTGGATTCTCTCCTCTCCTCTTTTTAAAGACAGCAGCCCCCTTCGGCCCACCACCCATCTTCAGGGAACTCACCCGCTTCCTCCGGATTCTCCAAGACATTAGCCAGAGATGCTGAGATTGACACCTGCCAGTCTCTTTCATGCCCCAGGATGCAGTTAATGAGGGCCAGGAGGTTTGGCCTCCTTCAAAAGTGCAAGGTGTTCCCGTACCACCTCTTTACAGATCTGGGGCCGCAGCCCACCCGCTTCTTCCTTTATTCCATTTGCCCTTATGTTGAGCACCAAGTCTGAATTCTTGCTGAAAACCAACATGAGTAAAATGAAGCTATCATCCCCTGGACACATCTGAGGTGAGAGTCCCTGGAAAAGGCCACCATGCTGGGGAAAATGGGAAGCAGTCAGAGAAGAGGAGGGAGAAGCCCGAGGGTGGGTGGGGCTGCTTTCCAGAGGTGGCCAACAGTGGGCATCGCCTTAATTCATCAGACTGGGACTGACTTGACGGTCAGTTGGAAGGACAGCAGCAGGGCAGGGATTGCAACCCCTACGGGTTATGGGTTTTTTTTTTTTAAATGTAATTGTTATGCCATCGCTTGCCCTTAAAAAAAGCAGCACCTGGACTTGTAACCTGTTGCTTCCAGACTCTGGCTGGACAGAACTTGGGCCTTTCTTGACGCCAAATGTGTACACAAACATATGGGACAGGTACAAATAAGCAAACCACCCCACGAGAACCCAGACAGAAGCCAGGGAGACAGCGCCTGGTTGAGAAAGAAGAGCCACCTCAGATCCCTTGTATTCTGGGGGGACGATGGCCTGCAAAGATACAGAAACAAGGGCCCACCTCCTTCCCCTCCCCTTTCCTAGCCGGATACCCTCCCTCCCCCCACCATCTCCTTTAAACCTTCCTCCTTCACACGGTTAGGTTGTCACCGTAGTCCCCTTCTTTGTTCTCCTCCTCCTCTTCCTCCTCCTCCTCCTCTTCCTTCAGGATGGGGGGCGAGTGCCTGATGACGTGGCGGGTGGAGACGTCCTCGTAATCAAAGTAGTTGAGGTACAGGTTGCGTGCCAGCCGGCGCCCCAGGGAATCGATCACCTATGGGGGAGGAAGGAGGCACAGACGCGGGGGGGGCGGATTTGAGGAAGAGTTTGGCCAAGCAGGTGGAGCGACACCAACCTGCCAACAAGCTGGGGAGATCAGCAGGGACTAGCAGGGCAAAGGGTTTCCAGAGCAGCACCTGGCCCCCGCCAGCAGCCTCTCCCAATATGGTTAGCCTGACGCTACCTGTGCAGGTGTGACCATCCAGCGCAAGGTGAGGATGGGAGAGACACCCAAGGAAGGCATCGGGACCCCTCTGGGCATTTCACGAAACATGCCATCTCTGGGGCGGGGTGGGCCCTTCGGCCAGAGCTTCACATTGCACCCTGGAAACCCCTACGGGCACGTGGTTTTCCCCCTTGCCTGCCCTGAGAACACCAAAGGCTGGGTGGGTGAGAGGAGAAAACACACATGCACACACATGCACACACACGTTCTGTTCACTGCACATTTTTCTCCCTGTAATTGTTTACATGCATGCTTTATAAATGACAGTTTTATGATTCCCCTAAAGCTTGTTAATGTTTCGCCCCTTGCACTGAATATTTGGGCAAAGCAGAGCCAGTGCCTTGACTGCCACTGGCTCTTTCTTACAACAGACACATTTCAGCCTGTTTTGCAAGCACACGAGGCGAGGAGAGGGGGGGCTTGTTCAAAGCAAGGAGCAGGCAAAGTCTCTAAGGGCAAAGGGAGCTTTTGTCCCCCACCTCCGGCCATGCGAGACATGGGGCCAAGGACCAGCACCCACCACCGGCCGAGGCCCCACCCTTTTGGCATCCCCACCCACTCGCACCTCGTAGTTCTCCGACAGGTCGATCAGGGTGAGGACCTCCAGACGGTAGCCGTTGATGATGAGGCTGTAGAAGAGCTTGCCATAGGCTGGAACGAAGACGAAAGACGAGCGACGTTACGACAGATTATTTCCTCGAGTTTAGTCAATATGGGGTTTCACCCGTGCAGCTGAAACCTAAATGCTGTGCCCCCCACCTCCACTCCCAGATCTCTGGGCATCTTCTGAGGACTGTTCAAATCACAACGAACAGCTGTAAAACCATCATCCTTATGCAAGGAAAAAGGTCCTGGAAGTGGGGGGGGGTGCTGGGCAGTGCTGTTGCTGGTGGCCGGCAGGAGTGTGGGGGAGAGACTGCGATGGCTGTGTGGGTTGACCTATGGAGGCAGAGGGCAGAGAGTCCAGCAGCTCCCCTTCTTCCCCTCTGAGGGGCCGCAAGCTGGAGGCCAGACACAGAGGCTGGAGAGAGCCGGGGAGGGGGGGGGGTGCTGGGCAGTGCTGTTGCTGGTGGCCGGCAGGAGTGTGGGGAGAGACTGTGATGGCTGTGTGGGTTGACATATGGAGGCAGAGGGCAGAGAGTCCAGCAGCTCCCCTTCTTCCCCTCTGAGGGGCCGCAAGCTGGAGGCCAGACACAGAGGCTGGAGAGAGCCTGGGAAATGGAACTGAAAGCGTTTTCCCAAAGGAAGAACGTTGAGTTGCGTCATCCCGGAGGGGAGAGAAGCTCAAGGGACTCCCGTTGGTTAGGAGCTTCTATCTTTTGGGCTCCGGGGTCCCTCTCTGGCCTCAGCCCTTATGGAAGCCTTAGGGTTTTCAGCTGGTGGCATCCATACCACCAGTTGGGAAGCCCAAAAGGTCTAGCAGGGAGGCCAGGGGTCCGCAACAGCTGGCGAGAGTTCCTCCCCTCCCTGTTGGCCTGGGGTCCTTCCTCCAGGCATTGCCTCGGAGGACCAGTCCAGCCGTGATGGCCTCCAGGGGACCGCAGGGAGCCAGGAAGGCTTCTCCCTCCTCTACACTCTCTCCGACCTCCTCAGCTTCCTCCCGTCTCTCCCGGGAGTCTGATACGCTGAGGGTTCCCCTGTCAGTTTCACCTTCCAGGCTCCCTCCTGACTCTCTGAGGTGGGCTCCACCCTTCCAAACAATGCCCTAAAGGACAGAATTTTGCCCTGGGAGGCTGAGGGTCACGTTTCCATGCACAGAAAAGGAGCTGTCGCTTCTCCGGTGCAGAGAAAGGGCTCGGCTCAGTAGCTCTGCAGTCGGGGGGGGCAGGTTGGCTTCCACTTTGAGCCCACTGGCCATGTCAGGTGGAGGGAAACCTGTCATGCAAACAGGTAGCTTCCCTATGCAGCTGCTCCTTCTCCCACCTGCCCTGCAAGAGCACCCAGGGGTCTGACTAGAACGAGGGCTTAGACTTCTCTCTGTCCTGAGGATGACTTTCTTATGAAAGACCAAGAGGTTCATTTTAATGGTTCCTGCCTGACGCCGTGCTGATCTTTGCAAGCCTATCCAGACAGACATTAAAAATAAATAAATAAAACGAAGAAGCAGGAAAAGCATGGTGCCGGTTTAAAAACCAACTGTGGAATCTCAAGGGGAGCTTTTGTGGATCAAGGCCGCCTCCTCTTCAGACCCCAAGATCATCCACATAGGTCTGAAGGCAGAACTCTGCTGAGAACCCATCCCTGTCTTGCCCGCTGGGCAGACGATGAATTGTTGCATGGGGGGCGGAGGGATCCTTGCATGCACGCCCCTCGTAGGTACCATCGCGCTGGGCGACCAGGCGGACATAGATTTGGTGCAAGGGGCCCTCGTGCCAAAGGATGCCCTTGATGTAGAACTGGTAGCTCTCCCGGACGTGGTTGATGATCAGGCGCCGCTTGTTCATGTTGCTCACCACCATCCAGAGGCCGGCCAGCATGCCGTAGACGAAGAACACCGAGAAGTCCTGGGAGCCCTGGCAGGGGAGGGAGGCAGAGGGGAGCAGGGTTACGGCAAGAGGGGGCCAATGCACCGAAGGGAAGCAACCGAGGGAGTGGTCGGCCTCTATGAGAAGCAGCCCAAAAGGGACCGGCCCTGGCACAGGGGACCCCAGGCATGCTCTGAAGGCAGAAATCTTGGGAGGGGGGGCATCTTCCCACACTCAGAAAAGAAGCTGCCCACTTTCCTAGTGCAGAAAAGGGGCTCCATCTGGAAGCCTGGCCCTGCAGCAGATCGCGCACCCTGGCCATGCTGCATGGAGGGGAACCTGTCCCCCAAACAGGATAACTTTTCCAAGATGGGACAGAAGCAGTCCAGCCTTGCTCTGGACCCTGGTCACAGAACTGGGTTTTCCTTCTTTGCTACCAGGATTGAAAGAGATAGAGAAAGAGAGAGTCTTTTCTTGGGCATTGGCCTTTGGGTGGGCCTTGGGAGGACTTCAGAAACTCCCCTGGGCCAGGCCAAGCCCATGGGCTGAACGTTCCCGACCCCTCCCATAGGACTGTGCGGGGGGGGGAACTCGGCACTCTTCTCAGGACCAAGCCTAAACAGTTTTTCAGTTAGCCCACTTTAAAATTGACAAGACCTGTTAAAGTGGCCCCTTTTTGCCCATTCTTGAACAGCTGCGAAGACAAGCTTTGTTGACAATTTTATTATTTATTTATATGGTGTTTGCTTTGTATGGCTTTTTACACCAGCCTGATGGTATATGTAAGGATGAAAGGCAGATTAAAAAGCAATGAATAAATGAATAAATAAACTCTCCAGAAACGGAAGAGCAGAGCGTGAAACCAAAGGGCTGCTGGCTCCTTCATGCCATGAAAGGGGGCGGGTGTGTGTGTGTTTGCCCCTCCTGCTACTGTCGGACTGTACTCACCCTTATTCCACCCCACGGGCTGGGGCTGATGGGAACTGAAATCCAATGCAATGAAAAGACTAATTCTTAAGGGTGCATGAAACAGTCTGGTGCATTTCAGCCAGGAAATATCTGTATGGCCTTTTCCACGGGAAACACCATCCAGAAATCTGCTGGCAGGGATTTCAAGAAAGATCATTTCCAAACACATTCAAGGACCACTGGTAGTCGCCCTCAATGGGTCCTGGAAATGCCCCCCCTTTTTATAACCCCCACAGGCCAAATCCTGCCTGGTTTGCCCTGAAGAAGCCCATGGAGGCATTTCCCGGCTGGAACCAGTAAGGCTTTTCCCTAAGAATAAAAAAAAACCCTTCCTTCCATCGTTGAGACTTTGTCTTCCTTGGCCATGGGTCGGTCTCTCAGGGATGTTTCTACTCTCTTTCAGCCCAGGAGTCACAGAGAGCTTGGCACACCTTTGCCCATCACCACGGACCTCATCGTAACTCTCTTCGAGTCACACCTTTTCCAAAGTACTGAGCCCTCAAAGTTGCAAAGTTGGGTGAGAGCAATGGTGATCCAGCGACCCTTCCCTGCATACATTTCTGTTGCTTTTTGTACACTGTTTCCAGCTACACGTCCTCCCTTGTAAGATGCGGAAACTAGAACGGCCCAAAGAACGTGAAATGCCCACACCGTACGCAGGCGCCAGGGCTTTCCTGCGTCCCTCCACGTTCCATCTCTTTGCTCGTCGTGGTCTCCAACCTTCACCCATCGCACGGCAACTCGACTGCCTCTCTGCTCACCGCCACAGCCTCTGCCACGGATGGGTCAGATACCAGCACCGGTTCATTGGTTACCCATTAGGAGAGATCCTTCCTGGTCTCTCCTGAAATCTGAATGAGTCACGTGGGAGTCAGCTCCATGGCCTATCAGGATGGCAGATCAGGGAGGAACAATTCCCAACCCAGGTCCAGGGAGGGGGGGTTGGAATCACCGGCCCTCTCTCTCCACGGCAAGAACCGGCCAGTCTGTTTTCTGCTCCTCCCGGCTGAAACAGATGTCAACCCATAAAGTGACCTCACCTTGGAAGCCCACAAGGATTCTCCATGAGTCTTGGGGAGAGGCTTGGACCCGTGTCCTTGGGACGGCCACACAGGTCATGGCGTGCACGGGATCGACCATGCCATCATGCTGGATGACGTTGTCAAAGGTGGGGGAGGCGGAGCTTCCTTTGGAAGAAGGCGGGATGACGGCACTTCCGGAAGGCTTGTTCTTCCCAAGGTCTAATTGTTCCTGTTTTCATAAGGCTGTTGGACCTAAGTGTCCCTGGAGCTCATCCGAGGGCTTCTGAAAGCTTTTTCTAACCGCTCTGTTGGAGGAGGAAAAGCAGCCACAACTTTTCCTCCTAAAACTCCTCCCCCTCTTCAGCTGGGGTGCACCCTTTTGGATATGGGCTCAGTCCCTTGGTTTAATCCTGAAAACTCAGGGGCTAAGCACCCCTGCCTGATGGACGACCCTTTATTCCAAGGTTCAATAACCAAACTCAGGTTTCATGTTAGAATTAGTCAAGCCACAACAACCGCTTCCAGGATTTGGGGTTTTAAGGCTGGATTTGATATAAAAGGGGAACACAAAGACAGAAAAGGGAACCCAAGGAAATAATTATATGGGACTGAAAGGGTGGTCTCTCTCTGTCTCTCTCTCTCTCTCTCTCTCTCTAATTTTGTAATGAAGTGCAATTATCTTAGTAGCCCATCATTATCAGCAGCAAAACAGATCAAAGGCCTACCTTCTTTGCTTTGAAGTAGAAGATACTAGCCACCAGAGAAATCAGGAGAATCAGTCCGCCCTTCCAGATCATGTCCTTATAATACTCCATCACAAACACTGCAGCAGGAAAACACCAAGGGCACCCCGTCAGAAACAGCTCCAGCAGAGCTCGGCTCGGCTCAGCATTGCAGCACAGACCCTCCCGCAAGGTCTGCCCGAGGCCGTTAGCCAGCTTGTGTCTTCTGTACCGCAGCCCTGCCGTGGCCCCGACCACAGGACCCCAATGCCCCCATGTGGCCTCAGCTGGGCATCAGCTGGGATAGTGGCTCGTGAAACAGCCACCGAAAAAAGAATGTAGGTTGGTTGAATGTACGTCAGCAAAAACAGGGCAAAAGAAGACACAGATTAGGGCAACACCGTCTGAGACGACAGGGACGCCCTTCTAATGACCCATCTCTAGCAGACACTAAAATGGTGTGTGGGTGTGTAACACGCAGACAGGCAGACAGACAGACAGACAGACAACATGTAGACACAGTGGAAAATGTTGATGAGGGTTTGAACCCTCGAGCTTCTTGGGGGAGATTTGCGGGCTGGAGGTGGGAGCAGACAGTGGGGAGGAAGAGCATCACTCAGAGGAAGGGAAAGGATAGAATCCTAGGATAAAGGAGTTGGGCCTCTCAGACCAACACGCAACCTGCTCAAGCCAGAAATATGGTTTTCTAAACCAAAGAAGGCACAGGAGGGAATCTGGATCTACTAGTAGAACTCCGGGTGACCTGAAGTATGGCAGGAAGAATGAACTCAAAACCAATTAGGGCAAGACCCTCCCCTTCCCGGAGACAACACCAGCGCGGATCTGCATAAAAAGGCATAAAGTCGTTTATAGGCACAAGTACTGTACCAAGCTGCCTATGTCTCTTAAATCAGTCAAACAGAATCACAGTGCAGCTTCCGTGGGTAGGGAAGACAAGGACCTTGGTAACCCATGTGCCTGTTGCTGGGTTCTCCATCCAGGTCCCTGTGGATGGGCAACGGTGAGGTCCCTAATCCTCCTCCTCTTTAGGACTCAGGCCTTCCTGAGGGGAAGTATTGCCCCCCCCCCCCGACGATGCTTGAGCCAAAGACAAAAGACTCCAGCGTAATTTAAATCATCTCTCGTATCCGGCCCATGAAAACAGATTTCATATTGCTTTCATGCCCGTATCCGAACAATGGAAGCCTGTCACATCGATCTTTTCAGCTTTATTTTATCTCTCCTGGTTTTATTCCTGCAGATCAATGGGAAGACCTGCCTTTAAGGATGCCAACCAGCTGAAATCTTGCGATAATCAAGATTCAGCTGGGTTCCTGAAGCAGGAGTGTCTTCGGGAAAGACTTCTCCCTGTTCCCCCTCCACGGGGCCTTCGGTGCATCAACGCTGGAGGAGAGAAAAGGTCTGTTTGGATCCCCAGAAGGCGTCGCCCTTGAGAACTGTGGCTGCTCCTGTTATCTCCCAAAGCAGGGGCCCTCGGAGTTGCCTTCTGCAGTACCTGCAGCGATCCTCCACCATACTCAGAAGGCATCCACCCCCTCCCTCCCAG